ATTTCAAAGTACTGTACTGTATTTTAAACGCATCACTAGTATTAGATCAAAGTACTTTATTTCCTCTATTGAAATGCGTCACTAGTATCAAAGCAAAGTACTGTATTTCCTCTATTGAATGCATCACTAGTATCAAACCGACGTTTATGGCATCACACTAATTGCTACAATATGATAGAAAAATGGATAACTGAATCACACACACACAATTTTGTTGGCAGAAAGGAGGTACTTTAATACAAAACTAGGCCTGAACATACATAGACTTAAAAGTACCCCAGACTACAACAGGGCAGTAAGTAATTACTGAAACTGACTAAATTCACAAATCTGTTAAAAGTGTTACAATTCAGAAAAGGGGTGTGGGAAAATAAAAATACAAAGAAATGGGGAAGTGGTGGGAGGATTGAAAAATATAAGACAGCTGGGAAAACAAAAATACTGAAGCACACTGAGAATCTGCTGCCACTAGGTGGCGCTCTATACTGGTGGCTACAACAGAGAAAAACTGAACAGGTAAATCTATATACAAATGTATTTGCAGCAATTAACCAAATTTATACTGAAAACAACTTTAACACAATTTTCTTTCTGTTAGATATTTATTTTAAGATATAAGTTAAGACAAAGTAGGTCTTACTACTGCCAGCCCGTTGACCCTCGGAATTAAAAATAACCCACCAGGGGATTAGGATTAATATCTGTAAAATCTTCAGTTTCCCACTTTTCCGACATAAGATACAGGCTGGGAATTTGGGAGTTGCTAGCTAGTTTAGTTAGCACATTCATATGTATATCGCTATAGCTGTTGGGCAGCTGTGTGGCAACAGAGTTTGCAAGAGTTTTTACATGTTAACATGTCAAGTTCAAAATGGCTGACACACCTGTTTCAGTGAGAAAAAACTGAAGTTTATTAGTTCCAGTGAAACCCCTGGTTTCTTCACAAAGAAGTAATTGTGTCATCCATGAATCCTCAGTCGACCTGAAGTCTTTCAAGATGGTTACTGCTCGTGTTGTCGGACAGTTTTTCAAACACGACCTGGACCTCAAGGACGCATACCAATGCCCCCAGCAAGCCAACCTATGTTGAAGATTGGGGTAAAAGGAACAGGGTACCAGTTTCAAATACTTCCGTGTGGTCTCTGCTCTGCACTGCTGGGGTTTTCTAGGATGTGTAAGGTGGTGGTAGTTCAACTACTGCTGGCATTTTGGTATACACATAGACTGGTTTCATCACCATCAACTAAGGGAAACTCTAGATGAACCACAGGGAGTTCGACAAACTTACGTATTTTAATAAATTATTAAATAATAAATTGTTATATAACTTTTCTTTTACCACTCTTTCTGTTATTACAACTTTGTTACGCGCTAATGTTATATGCAAATTTTAACGCGCGATATAGACACGCCCTATTAAATGAAATGCTCTGATCAGCATACTATACGCTTTATAGTCTGCTCTCTACAATCTGGTTATACCACAGCCACTGGCGGTACTACCGTTCATGGTGTTTACAACACCAGTCACACATTTTTTGTAGTAAAATTATATATATATACCGTCATTACCATCTGAATAAACCTGCATATTTTTATAAAGACATGTGGCTAATGAGAAAATAATTCCACATGATCCAAAATCAATTAAATAAATATGTAGGGAAATTGTGCAGTGTCTGTAGTGTATACTAGTATTCATTCATTCATTTATTTTGGTGAGTATTTATTTATACAATAGCAGGTTGGGTTCATTCGCAGACTCGAAAGTTAGGGAGAGCACAACTCAAGCAGTACGTCAGTTACACCACGGAAACCGCTACTCGTAATCGTAGCGTTAAGAACACTCCTGTCCTTTACCTTCACTGAGGGTAAGAATAGTTCACGGGACTGACATGCGATTTAATGTTCCCATGGTGATGTAATTGCAAGTCTAAATAACGCAATTAACTCTCTATACCATTATTGAACTTTAATTGAAAACCCTATAGTGTATAGTCCAATATTTTTATAATAAACTATATAACGAACGTAGTCTGATAAGAGTTATTCACATGCATGTATTTGTGCAATGAAGTAGGGATCATTGCCCAAAACGTCAAATTAATTTATCAGTAACTTAGGGGAACAATTACCATATATTGTGTACTATAATACCATGTCTCTATATACTTCCCTGTGCATCATAACTTGGCATTGAAAATACTGACTTTCAAAATTGTAAATGACAACTCTGGCACATAATTGTTTACAAGCAAACAATCAAACGGAATGTGTTCACGTTATTTCACGTTTTATATTTGAACGAAAAGTTTCTTTAAGCAAAAATCAAAAGCATTCCGCGTATGAAAAAATAAGCTACATCTTTGATAGCTGGAATACATTTGATCAGTGTAAAGTGTGTGGGTTGTGATTGTAGAAAAACGACATGTATTTATATTCAACCTTGGTTACGATGGTTGCATGGCAACCAGCCTTGAACCACCACCAGTATTGCGTTTCTTAGCAGACACTAATGTTCATATCATTCGCTGTCTCAATCATTGTAATGAACCAGTCAATCTCAAGTAAATAGTAAATAATTTGTGCTCTATCTATACAATGTATTTTTGTTTTTGTTTTTTGCTCATACAATAAAAATAAAGCGGGATTAACAACAATAATATACGTTGTGAATTAATGTTTGAAGACGTTGGTGGCGCTATATCGAATTACAAACTTTTGTATCTGCAGACATAATCATAATACTCAAATCCCGCTCAAATACGAATTTAGTCGTGAAAGCCATGACAATTAGTTTTATTTCAATCTTGTGTCAGAGCAAGTACTAAAACTTGTAAATATTTGGGCAGTACTTTCGTTTTCTCCAAGAAACCGATCTAAGAACTGGCAATTAGTTTCATATTCTTTGCGACAAATTCAGGTATTTCAAGCCCAGTGGATAAAGTAACTTCGCCTTTGTTTACCTCAAACGTTGGACACAACGTCTGTATAAACTTATCGTGAAATGTGTAGAGATGTTTCTTTGTATTCGCATTAAAGAACGCTAACTTCCCTGCGTTGTAGTCGAGGTAAACTCCTAGTAAGCCGAAGTTCCCTGGGGGGATATCCAGAGCACGGGTTCGTAAGCCGTGGACTACGTTTCTTGTTTCCATGTATTTCTCAAAGCACCAGGAGAGTTCGTTATCACCAAGTCCCTTGTCCCTCGGTAATGACGGGTAGGAGACACCGATCCGGCAAAACGGGCTCCGAGCAATCGATACTTCCCAGTAATGTTTCCCATAGCTGATGGATACGTTGCCGAAAATACCGGATGTCTCGTGAATCGCTCCGATGAAGGGGTTGCCAAGCAGCGTTCCTCTGCCCCATTCCTATCAAAACATACAGTACGTGCTTGATTGACGAGTTTTAGATTGCGGTGTGCAGTTTGGGGATGGAACTCGAACTCTGTGCCTATTGGAAAAATATCATAGTTACGGTAAGTTAGCTGTTTTAGGCATTTCAGTGGTTAAAATGGTTGAACTGGGAGGGCTATGCACACACATCACCAATACATCTCTGGAAATCATGGGAAATTAGGTGACTGCTTCGAGGGATCCATGAATAATTTATTTTCATAACGGCAAAACAGTACTAGTTATATTACTTCTGCTTGTATTGCTGCTCGTTCTCAAAGCATTATGCCATTATGCCACTGGTGGCGCTCTGCTCTGCGATATGAAGTAGTTTCTTAAGTTCTCCGCGGGCATTGTAATTCAACTGATATATGTGACGACCTTCTATTCGCCATAAGCGAACTGCTAGACATATCCTTAACGTCACGCCAGCTAACTATACATTTTGATCAGATAAATTTACATCTGAGTATTCCTTCCCTCTATTCTCCTCCACTGCATTACGCCCTCTGTCTTGAGTGTGTACATTACCTGATTCGTGTTTAGATTTGAAGATACTGGACAAGGATCCTGATATAGAATGGAAGAATGAATTTTTGTGTTCATATGACCTCAATAATTCACATATTTCTTCATCACTTGG